TGTGGTTCAAACCAACTTTACAGTCCAACGCATTAACCCACAGCGCCCCAGCAGGACTCCTAGAGAGTAGACACATGTTAATATGGGTGACAGAGAAGGCAATGTACAACAAGGAGGTCAGCAGAGGAAAGACGAAGGTAGCAGAAGACACAGGGAGGAATGCGATAGTTAATGTGTATAGAAGTAAATGCTATTAACTGTTGGTACATGGAGGGGATTGTAACCATGTAATGAAGCAAAGTATACGATTTGTTGAATATAAAAGTGATTATCTGTTCTGTAAACCATCATTCGGTTAACAATAAAACATTGGGAAAAAAGGTTGTGGAATACTTATTAAAAAATTATCATAATGTTGAAGTTTTCCTTTCATTACATAATTTGTCAGTCAAATGCATGCAACCTACCTGCATTGCTGCATCCCCTATTGCACGTCGGATTTCCCTTAGAGTTTGATATTGCTCCAACAGGTGATCACCACAGATGATATCTACCTACAGTCAAATACAAAAGTCAGAATGCTTCCCTGCTTCAAAAACCTACCTGAAAAATCAAACCCCATCATTATCAGGCTGTTGTTGTTAAGAGCTGTCAGGTTGGTTCTGACTCAGTCACCCTGTATAGTGTTTCCAAGGAGAAGCTGGTATATTTGAAGCAACAACCTTGGTTAGCAATCCAATGCTTACGCTATAGCACCACATCAGGACTAGACTTTGCTATTTTATTTTAGACTGATTAACCACTCTCAAGATAAATTTTAAGAACATTTTCATGTCGAGGAAGTACGGCAAAATGGAAAGAGCATTAGAGGCTATAGTAGCGCAATAGCACATAACAGAACTAAAACTGAAACGGATTTTCCTGAATCTGAGAACAAGATAAATCATTTTCAAGACACTCAACAAATAGGCACAGCAAGATAAATTTTTTGAAATTTTTCATAATAAAATGATTTAAAAAAAGGCATTCATGCCTGTTAATTTGTAGTACAGAGATGACTTCCTTGCATGTTGTTGTTATGTCAGAAGCTATGTTACTAGTGTTTCAAATACCAGTGTTTCAAATACCAGCAGGGTCACCCATGGTAGACAGGTCTCAGTGGCACTTCCAGATTCAGACAGACGAGGAGGAAGGAAAAGTTTGTCTATTTTTGAGGGATTAGCCTCTGAAAACCTTAAGGATAGCAGTGGAACATTTTCTCATGTAGTGCTGAAAGACAAGCCCCTCAAGTTAGAAGGCACTCAAAACACAA